GTTAGCAGAGTGGGATCACGGCCTCAGCGACTCAAGTGGAGTGCTGTGCCCTGAGCTTGGCATTTTGGGGAGATCCCATATTTACAGATTGACACTTACAGTGGACTTCAAACAAGACTTGTGGGCAGAGCGGACCTGTAGGAGGAGTGCGGACTCCATGAGCATGGACTCAGAGGGGGGGAAGCCCCCTTTGCAGAAGGAGGGACTCAGACCAGACAGGGGGGGGGGTACTCTAGTTGATTTCAGACTGAGGTCCCAGAAAGTATTTACAGGATATAAATAGGCAGGAGGGAAACACAGAAGGGCTGGTCAGTCTGGTGTGGTCCGGTGCGGAAATAAGTGGGGATTGTCAAACTGAATAAAGGACAAGAGCCCAGAAAATGGGAGGCAATGAACTAAAGCAAAAGCGGATCAAGAGCCAATATTGGCAAGTTAAGCAAATGAATAGATGAACAATATAGGCACTCAGCAAGGAATGAATGGTATGCTGCCAAGTGACAAAAGTGGCCAGAGGACAAAAGTGGAGGTCAGCACGTGGTGCCGATACAAGTCCGCAAATAAGCGGGGTTGGTGTGGTGCCGATGCAAGTCCGTGAACAGAGGTTGATCTGTCAGTACTGTCACACAAGGACAGCATGAAGGCCAACAGAGGTACAGAGGGGAGTGGGAGTGTTGACCTGACCAGAGGTGTCAAGGGCAACCAGAAGTGGGCAGAGGGTGCAGAGATGGGCAGAGGGCATGGAAGTGGGCGGAGGGTGCAGAATGCATGGAAGCAGTGCATGGCTGTGACCACATAGCGGGAAGCAATGAGTGTGGTTCAGATGGAGACAAGGCAGGCATAGGAACTGGAGGGACTGAATGCTGGGAGTGCCAAGGGCTCGGGAACTGGAGGTAAGGTCGGAATGCTGGCAGGGTCTAGGTTCTGATTGTTGGCCAAGTCTCATGCAATAAGCCATGGGGCCAGACATCAAGTTGGGGGCTGGTTAGGATGGGTTTTGGGTTGGCAGATTCACCTATCGGCATTGGTTTGCCACTGACAGAGCCCCAGGATCTGTCAGTCATGACACACCCCCTCAATCCAATATATTACCTATGCCTCCCTAAGTACAGAGCCCTGAAGGCCTCTGGACAGCTCCAATGTCCGCTAGCGCACTCCCACCTCTGCTGGGCAATTTAGTTGCTTGCCCTGCAAGCCTACCTTCGGGCCGATCCCTCCTTTCCATTTTTGGGTTATTGTTACGGATACGGAGTCTCCAACGACCATATCCGTCGCATGGTCAAAGACTTCCCCTCTCTATCGCTCCTCCCCTCTTTCTCCTTTCCGTCCTCTATCCCGCTACCCTATCCTCCTTACCCGTTCTACCCCTTTCCCCCCCCTTGTGCAAAGCTTTCCCCATTGGGGTTTTGGTGCTGGCCGAGGTTGTTTGTGTTTCGCGGGATTTCCCACGACCTTACCATTTGTAGATAGTCACGCGTCTTGTACGGAAACCGCCGAAGGCGGTTCCCGCTAACTAACAACTGCTCTACAACTGTCTCGTGTACCATCTTCTGTAACAACCCTCCCTGTGACTCAACTGAACCTGTGTGACTGTACAACTCTCAATATGTCTTATAAGTCTGGTTATATCGAGTCCTCTAACGGCCCTCGCCGCGAGAACTCGAGGTCGAGAGTTGAAGACTCTCGACATGTGTATCGTCCTACTGAATCTGTACCCTATGGGTCTTCATCACTCCGCTCTCCCCCCAGTACTCAACATACGACGTCACCTCACGATCTTGGAGATCGTGAATACTTTGAGGCCCATCTTCCCGTGATGCCGGCATGTTCGCTACGCGAACGCCAAGTCGCCGCCCATCCACCGTCTGTTCCCTCCTTCGCCAGTCATCATGTTTCCCCGCCAACAGTACGTTCCCTTTGGGAACGCCAAGTCACCGAAGGCCCTACTAGTCAGTCCTCATTGCACGCTTATGACATCAACCCGCTACCGGTACGTTCGCACTGCGAACGCCAAGTACCCGATAGCAACTATATGAAGTTCTCACCCATCTCACAAGTCGCGACCTCGCACACAGTACGCTCCATTGAGGAGCGCCAAGTACCCGTGGCTGACCCGTCCGTCCTGGCATCTCCGACTACCTACCATCAATCCCTTAATAGCTCACTACATCACCAATCGCGATCGATGGGAACTCGATCGTCCACCCGGATCACTCATCGATTACATATCCTGTTATGGTACAGACCAGATATGACCTCACTCATCCCACTATAAGAACGGATCGAGGAATGGGGAATTTCCCCCATCCCCGTAACAGTTATAGCCTGTCAATCCACTAAACCCGTAACCTGACTCGTTGGTAATATTCAGTTGGCTAACATGTAGCCCTGTTAGCTCCACTCTGCTCGGTCCTGTCGTTCACAGGCCTGCCCCCCCATATACATAACTTGTAGATAGGTTACACCCTAGTGATAAAATCGACTAGAGTTATCCCCCTTCTAGTTCTCATTGCCAGTTAGTAAATTAGGGCACGGACATGTAACTAGGCACAGCACTCCTGGTCTAAGTCGCTGAGGCCGAATGTCAGGGCACACCCACCTGACCCCACCCCATCCGGTCCGACCCTGCCCAATTCCACTACCCTCACCCGCTGCCCCCATCCTCTCTCCTCCCTTCTCTCCCTCTTCCTTCCCCTTCTTCTTTCTTCTTCCTTCCTTTCTTTCTCCTTCCTTCCTTTTCTATTACACGGACGACTTCCTTGCTCGATGTACCATTAACCAGACTGCACAACATGCCCGGACCCGGACACACCGGGTGATGCCCTACACACCAGATGCCCCTGAGACCTCTTACAGAGATGCCTGGGCGGACATGGCTGTGCATGTAGATGATGTGGCGCTCCCCACGTGACCTCCAACCGCATGTACATAAACACAGCCTAAGTGGGAACTGAGAAGTAACCTTCTTCTCACACTTCCCACTTTAGGCAAGTAGCTTACATTCCCCTGCTAATAATAATAACACACTTCCCACTTTAGCCTAAGTGGCCAAGGACCCTTGCCTGCTTCGGGCCCGTTGTTACACACGCCTGTGCTGCACCCTACCGGGCCCTCAGCCCCGGGTGATATACCCAGACGCTCTCGACCCCGGGTCAGTCCCTGACACCGAAGCTGTTAGAATGGGCGGATTCGGACAACTCCGGAGTGGAATCGGAGACTTAGCGTGGAAGGACCTTGGCCTCAGCGACTCAGGCGGAGCACTGTGCCATTGCTGGTTGTCCTAGGGGTCCCTAATTTCGGATCTAGCAGAGGGGAAGTCTCTTGGGGGAATTCAAGTCGATTTCGGACTGAGGTTACAAGTTACTATGTACATTGTATATAAGGAGGGGTCCGGAATCAAAAGGAGTGAGGGTACTCTGAAAGGAGACAAAGGGAGCTGAAAGGAGGGGCAACACCAAGGGTCAAGGGTTTGACTCAATGGTGTTTCCCAAAGGAGGAGTGAAGGGCCAAGGCCCAAGGAGGAAGGAGGGAGGATGGGAGTGGGGAATGGCCAGCTGACTGAATAGAAAGGAAGCAGCAGCCCAAATAGGAATGAGGGAGTATAGCGGAACTGAATGGAGCAATGCAATAGTTGCAAGGTCCGACATAAGTCCGGAAAGTCCGAACTCGGAAGTTAAACTCCGGAATATTGGCAAACGTAATTAAATGGAATGAGCTAACCAATACAATGGGTCTAAGCAGAGGTGGGGTCAAAGTCCAAGGTCGGAGCTAAGACCGGAGGTTCCAGAGATGGAGATGCGAACGGGATTCCGGAGCGGAGGTCCAGAGTCGGGAGCATAGGTGTTGCGTGCTTGTCTGGAAGGTGTTGAGGATGAGGTCGGACCCGGAATGTTCCGGAGTCGGACCAAAGGTGGTGTTGGAGCCGGAGGTGGGATAACCTCTTGGAAGTCGGCAAGGAGGAGGTGGCAGAAGGGAAGTAGGACTCTGGAAGTCAGGTTTGGAGTTCCAGGAGCCCGGAGTGGAGGTTGGGATTGTATGGATATGACAGAAGCCCTCCACCACTGGGACGTCTCCCTCATCCCGCATCCGGTCCCTGACACTCCAGTCCACTACCTGACCTCCTGGTTGAGCCCCATCCGCACTATAGTGCAAGTGTAGCCACTGAGTGCTATCACCTTACCAGGCTAGTCATAGCAACACTCCCTGAACCCACTTTGGAGGCCCAAGTTATGGTGATGCAATAGCTTGAATTCATGGTCAGTAGCTAAGTTGATGGCATGATGTGGTGGGATGGGGTTGACTGCAACAATGGGGCAGATAGTGATGGAGAGCAGGACTAATTTAGTGAAGGATCTGTACAGTTATCTGAACGGACATATGTATACTAAGCCCGAGTTTGAGTTTTGAGTTTGGACTACTCTAAAGTACAGCTTTGGCCTTCAGAGGCCTGTTTTCAAATTTAGCTAAACTGACAGTTTAGAACCAGTTCTGTCCAGTTTAGGTGCAGCTAAGGATCAGCAGTTTTAGCCCATTGTGAAACCCCCTATTGGACTGACTAAATTTAGAAAATGGCAACTGCCATATCTCAGCAAAATGAATAATCCCCCGTTGAAACTTGATCAGGTAGGATATGTCCCTAAGTGACCCCCCTTGGGAATTACTTAGGATCACTTGGGAGCTGTGGGAGCTGTTGAGAGCTTTGGAGTACACAGCCAATCTCCAGAGCACTTCTGAGTGCTGCCATACCGATTTTCGTGACGGATAAGCCCGTGACAACAGGTTCGGTTTAGGTTTAGTATCTGTGCGCCGTGTAGCATAGCCCCGATGTACTACATGGATAATAATATAAGCTTGATACTTTGAAGTCCCTCCGCTGCCACGAGTGTAGCCCTTTAGAGATGCCCCATAACAACACTGCTCATCCAATACTAGTGACCAGCCTGACTAGAGTCATCCATGTCCAGCACGCAAATACTCTGAAACACAATTTCTGAATTACAAACTTTGTTGGGAATTGGATTGATTATTTCAAGCATATTTTGGGAACACAAGCAAGTCTCGGGCTTCTCAGATGCCGAAGATTTAAGTACTAATTGTTACATTGGTCATCCGGGGACTTGCACCAGACTACATCAAAAACGAAGCATTCAAAAAGACTACCGTCCATGTAAGCCCCCGTGATGCACCCCGCCGCATTCCCAGTGCCGCCACGGTATGTAACAGGGTAACACGGACCGTTTGTGCTTTTTCCATCCTTGGTGATCCACCACCTATCAAGTTCATCGGAAATCGTAACGTTGCAACCGCAAGGCGCAGCAGTCAGGTCTGATCCGAATGGGGTGCGCATATCGAAGAAAGAGGGGCTTTGCGCCACAACTGCATTCTCGCACTGAGTGTCTATTGGGAAAACATTGGTTAAAGCAAATTTCATTTCAAGCTTCAGTTCACCTTGGCCCGATGGGAGAAAAATCCAGTCCGGTCCGCCGGGTTCGGTATGACGATCGGTGGCGTTACCGCACCATGTGATGAGAACGTGGAAATCAGCTGCGACGATAGGAAGTAGAACGGTTGGGATCAAGGCATTCCATAATCGCATTGTGACTTCTGTGAGATGCTACTATTTAATGTATGTGATGTGAATAGCTATGTGCGCGACGGGAGTTGAGGAATACTGACCTCGAGCGGAACACTTAGAGGACTGAGAAAAGGGAGGGGGATCCATCCTTCAGAGGCTATATAGTGTCTTCTTAGCCTTTGAAGAATGAAATAATGTTACCTAACAGTCCTTGCTCGGTGCACACGGGGGGGTGTCATGCTGTATCGTGGTGTCGTTAATTGTGCCAGAAGGCATCATATCATCTAATTATGAACACACCTGTATATCTAAACGTTATTCCAGCCGAGCTGAGATCTACATGCCCATGGCAATAGAGCTAAAACATGCGAATTACTACGCCACGCCGATTCTTCAATGACATGGATATTTGACTTGAAACATACCGCACATGCTGGAGACAAAACCGATGGATGATTTGAAAGAGAAATGGGACCATGCAAAGGACGGCAGCACCAACCGACGAATGACCTGCAATTGTGATAATTTTTGTTGATGGTACCAAGGAAGCCGTTCTTAAATTACATACACGTGTTTGAGAACGGTTCTTATTCTCGAAATATTGTGTCATCCAGTGAATTGATTAGGGATACTAATCGGTTCGGAGCCGAAACGAAGGTCCTACATCGCAAACGCGATAACAGGTTGGCTCATACTCTGGTGCAGTTTGGAGGTTGAGGGATGATTGCATGCGGGCACGTTATTGAACCGAATCCTGGTCAACATGACCCATTCGGCTCCGAACTGAATCATGGTATCCCTAATTAATTGGATGGCTCAATATGACAATTTAATTTGAGAATAAAGAAGCCATTCTCAAACACGTGTATATAATTTGAGAACGGCTTCCTTAGTACCATCAGCGAAGGCTATCACGATTGCAGGTCGTCGGTTGGTGCTGCCGTTCTTTCCCTGGTCCCATTTTTCTCCTGAATCATCCATCGGTTTTGTCTTCAGCATGTGCGGTATGTTTTAAGTCAAATATTCATGCATTGAAGAATCGGCGTGGTGTGGTAATTCGCATCCTTTTCCCATGGGCATGTTGTAGGTATGTTGATATCTCAGCTCGGCTGGAATATCTTTAATTTTACATGCGTGTAATGTATGTTCATCATAAAATAATATGATGCCTTCTGGCACAACTAATGACACACCATGCAGCACGACGCCTTCACCGAGCACCGACTGGTACGTAAGATTATTCATTCTTCAAAGGCTAAGAAGACACTATATAGCCTCTGAAGGATGGGTTCCCCTCCCTTTTCTCAGTCCTCTGAGTGTTCCGCTCGAGGTCAGTACACTGTGGGAAGTAAAGTCTGGTAAATTACCAAGTTTTCGTAGGTAAAGGACCATGTACTAAGTTTCGGGTGGTAATTGAGGAATGGTAATGTACCAACTCACCTGATGAGGGCTGGTAACCAAGTTCTGTGCACCATATTTTACCAGATATCCTATGGTATTTGTAGGATTTCATGTTATGTACATCAGTTTTACAGCAAAGCACGATGCAGTCGATCATTGCCGACATCAAGATGGGCTGTGCAAGCTCAATACTACGGTCTACAATTCCCCATCGCAGTGATGCCATTTCATAATGAAACCCACCACATACCGATAATACTGATGCTAACTTCGCGATGGTCTGTGTTGTCTCTGAGAGAGAAATGAAGGAGATTTGAGTGAGTGCAGCATTGTCATGAGCTCCGGAATCAGAAAGAAGAGTGAGAATGGCCTGTGAGTCGTTGGTGCATTGATGCCTGGGAAATTCGAAGTCGGGAGTGTGCATTCAAGTATCTCACAAAGTATGCCATAGGATATATGTTTGATAGGCAGTGTCTTTTGATAGACATGGAGGTTTGAATCTACAGCAGGCTGTTTGGAGTGATGCATTCACACAAGTTGCATTCGACAGCTCCCGAGTCCCTTACCTTTGCCTCTCACCATCTGCCCTCCTCCCAACTTTAAATGCTATTGTGTATTTTGCCCCAAAACACACTTCATTGAGACTTCTTAACCTGTTATATTGCTCCACTAGTGAGACAACACACTTTCGATGGCAAATAATTCATAAACATCAGAATTCCAACATCATTGGTCTTATCTTATAAGTTATCATGCATCCTATCACATGTCTTTTGTCCTTCATTATATTTCTGATGCACTCTCCTTTTCACATGTCAGGGTAAGTATAGCATATACTCATGGGACTTGGCACCTGATCTGTGGATCTGTTGTTGCACAGAAAATCAAGACTCCTGATCTGTGAAGCCAAGATCTTCTTTGGCATGATGTTGTCAGGGATGCGTCCGGGGTCGAGAGGGCCCGGGGGTAATGCCCGGCACTGAGGCCGTCGCGGGGTGTGGAGCGGGCGTGCATACTGGCGGGCCCGATCCGGGACAGTGGTCCCTGGCCACTCAGACTGAAGTGGAGAATGTGTTATTATTATTAAAGAGGAAAACTATACTACTTACCTGAAGTGGAGAATGTGAGAAGAAGGTTACTTCTTCGGTTCCCACTTCAGGTACATTTATGTACATGCGGCTTGAGTCACATGACAGGTGCCACGTCATCCTCGGAGGCAGCCGCAGGCATCCGGGTGTCCCCGTGGGGGATCCCGAGAGCGTCCGCTACATGCGCGCGTGCTGGGCACGGCGGGAAGCCATCCAGGGTGTGTGGGCCGGACGGGTCAATCGTACATCGATACAAGGGAAGGTGGTCCGTGTAGATAGAAAGAAATAAACAGGAAGAAGAAGATGAGAAGAATGAAATAAAGAAAGGGGAAAGAAAAGGGAAAAGAAGGGGGAGGAGAGGGAGGAAGGAGGGGGGAGGGGGATAGACAGCGGGGAGCGGGAGTGGTGTGGCCGGGTGGGCCCGGGTGGGCCCGGGTCAGGCGGGTGTGCCCTGACAGATGTCCAACATGTAGTCTCACACACACTTGATTGCCCTTGGAGAAGCTACATGGGGCAACATACCAACAATTGAAAGGGTTGGTCCCTTCATTGCTCTTGCACATCTCCATTCTAACTGACTCTCAAAGCTTGTTTCAAAACACCCTGAGCTTGGGACTATGAAAATGAGTGGGCCACTGAATGCAGCCTAGAAGTTGTCTTCCCACACGTATTCAGGTTACTAACTTCATGTCCTTGTATCTCATTCATTTCTGAATGGTTTTTCACATTCTCAGCATCATAAATTTTCATTTATTCCAACCTTTCTAATGGTACTAAAGTTGTACTCTAACTCTCGGTATTTGTCAAGTTAGCAAAAGTTCACGCTGTCAGGAACGTGCTGGACGCTGCAAGAGGGCTTGCGGCTCTCTATGCCGACTAAGCTCGTGGGGCCAAACTCTCCAAAATCCTACTTTCTTTACTAAACTCGCTATGCTCTCGATCCTTAACTCCGTGGTGAGTTCTCCGGAATTTCCGCAAGGTCCGGGCTCAGTGTCCACTACTCACTCGTTGTGAGCTAGATCACTGCCCTTATTCCTACTGTTGGAATTCCACACACTCACACCCACTCTAGCGCGTCCTAGCACCTTAGAGAAAATTGGGGGAGGGGAGAACTTCTATTCCAGAATCTGGTATGTACAGGATATAAGGAACAATTATTTTTAGAATAATTGATGGGAAATATTGGTACCATATGGCACCTGCATACCTTATTAGGCGAAATAATAAAAAAAGGGTAACAGTAACAATAAAAGAATATCAATCAATATCTGAAATGATGGCAAAATATGAAAATATAAGGAAATAAGCGATTTCTCAACGGATTTACGGAATTAAGATCCGAAATTGGAAATGTAGCTGAATAGAACCATTACGCAGCCGATAAGTATTTTTACCGATTTATTAGACGCCGTGGGAACGAGTGAGGCTGGAATTCTGGATTGCTGCTTGAGGTTCCCACGCCCGCACATACTCGTGACCTTCCATGCCTAACCTGTCCAATGCAGAACTCCGTCAAATCTCGACTGATTGGGGCGTTCTTGGTATCGTCAGAATCGTACGAATTAGGACTATTTTTAGGTACCAAATTCCGTACCGAGTTGTCGCATGAATGGAAGTGGTTTTATAGTCGTGAAAACGGGTATCTGAGCCGAGTCTGTGCATGGGCGATTATCCCGCCTACAACGTGTATCCAGGTGACCCGCGAGGCGTGTGAAGTCGTCCAGACTCGTAAGGTCGGAGGGGCGGGACTTTAGCTTCAGCAACTCAGGTGGAGCACTGTGCTTCGTTCTTACGTTGGTGTCCCAATTTCAGACAGGAGCCTTACGATGAAGAGAGGAGTCTAGAGGGGGAATCCAAGTCAATATATGAACTGAGGTACATCCGGTGTAACCTACAAGCGTTATAAACACAAGTAACTAAATAGGACCGGCCCGGAAGGAGTGGCAGATCAAGCACGATATTAATGAATGAAGAAAGAAATAATATCGGCAAACTTAGTCAACAAAAGGCAAGCAAGGAACAAAAGGAGGAACAATAGTCCGCAAGCGGACAAAAGAGAAAAGGCCATCCGGCCGTCTAGCAAGCCATCTGGCTGGTGAGCGGACAACAATGAAGCAGGCAACCTAGGTTGGGAGGTACGCACGTGGGAGAGGAAGTGTGGATGAGGGTGATGGGTGGACGGATGATGATGATAGCAGGCGGGATGGGCCAAGTGGCACTAGGACGCGTTGACGGAAGTGACGGATATGTCAGGTCATGACACACGCACACATTTGGTAATCATGTGTGTTGTTCCCATACTTGTTTGTATGCAGGTACTGTTTCTGTTTAATTGTTCGGAATTTATTGTATGCATGGGTGTTTGTATCCTCAATATGGGCTTCCATGATTTATTTCAGATTTTTCCCTCATGATCTAAGGTGTTTTTGTACTTTCCATGCTTTGTTTTGACCAGGGTCTTCCTTATTTGGACAGAAATTGGTCTTCGCGATCTGCTGAAGTGTGGATCTTGGTTCCGACAGCCAGTTCCCTTCACATTGCCACCCTCACATGTCTTTAAGCATAGTGTGGAATTGTTAGAGACCAGAAGTGAGACAAAGGAGATGTCTCTGTGGTGGAGGGCTTCGGCCTCAGCGACTCAGACCAGGAGCACTGTGCCTAGTTACACGTCCATGCCCTAATTTACTTACTGGCAGCGAGAACTAAAAAGGGGGATCAACT